GTCTAAAAGAAATTAATAATTTCAATTTAATTATGCAAATATGTACTTTAAAATATTTTAATAATTTTGTAAAGTAAACTTTAATAGAATTAAACAGAATACTTAATTTAAGCTTTCCATTTTGACTAGAGCAACAAAATAATTGATAAGTAAGTGATTCGGACACTTTGTAATATGCCAGCTTTAGGTAGAGTTATAGATCCTGCATTAAACTGAAGTCGCAAAAACTTTAAGGCCAACTGTGTGCGCTGTTAACTTGGCCAACTGCTTGGCCCGCCTCCGCATTACCTTTAGCTGCCGCTTGCTGTCCCATTAGAGCAACAAATTAGCTGCAACAGCAGCCCGCCTTCTTCCTCGTCTGCTATTGCTATTGTTATTGCTGTTGTTGTTGTTGTTGTGGCAACATCCGCTGGGGCAGGTGGCAGGAGGCAGCTTTGTAATTTACGAGCCAGCAATCGCAGACGACTATCGTAATAGCTGGTAACAGCATTTGTGCATTTTGTTCTGCCATAAATCATATTGGTAATGCAAGTTCTGCAACAACAGTCGACTCGACTCGACTCGAGTTGATAGTCGTCCAGCTCCCACCTCCCTCCCTCCCTCCTGCCTGTATCTTTCTCTAGCCTGTATCTCTCTCTCTCTCTCCCTCTGTGCCATTTCCGATCCCTAGTCTTAACTCGTTTGCCCTTTTCAGCCAGCACTTGGACAACATTGTTGAGCTTGCGTCTGCGACGCAATTTCTTGACTCACTTTTCTCGGCGCCTCCCCTCCCTGTGCTCTACAACACTTTTGGCTAATTGATTTACAACACTTTTCCAACCTTTCCCAATATCAAATGCGAAGCTATATGGTATGTGTATATATGTATGTCTGTGCTGTAGTTGTATATAGTATGTATATCTTCTGCTTTTTATCAACCTCTCTGTAGCTTGCTCAACGCTTCATTGTGTGACAATCGCTCTAGAGTTGTGTAGCGCTTATCAACACTGTACATGGCACTATATATATATATTATGTAAGTGTGTGTGTGTATGTGTGGAGTGGGTTGGCTCCCTGGGGCCACATCGGCTGTTTGCAAAAATAATTTATGGCAAACTGTTGATTGTTGACATGGGGGACCCAGAGCTCAAGTTAAAGCCTCGCATACACACACACATATATATCTATGTGTTTGTGCGTGTAGAATTTATCATTAGTTTTATATATGTATATACATATGTATAGTATTTGATGTTGCTTTCAGCTTCGCGAAGCGAAACCAAAACGAAACGCGACGAGCAAAACAAAAGCCCCCCAAAAACACAAACGACAGCTGGGGCTTCGCTTCGCCTGCCCGTTGATGGCTGCTTTTCAAAACACATTGCGTCATTTACTGTACAGCCCGCTCCCGCCTCTGGTCGCCCCCCCCCCTCCCTCCCCGCAGTGGCTCCACATCCAACGCCTCGCCAGACGATCGCAGCCACATCGAAGCACGTTGCTCTGACGCTCGCTTCCTAGAAAAGCGACACGAATTCTACGAATTAGAAATCTATGTACTCGATACTTGCACATGGGGTAATGGCATCTGGTACATCGATACTATATAAGGCATATATATCTGTGAGTGTGTGTGTGTGTGTATACCCGATATTTCTGTGTGCGCCGATATCTGCGATACTATATATACTACTATATACAAATCGAAATGCTTGCAATTGCGACTGTAGCAGCCCGAGCTGTGCATTGACTTTGCTTGCTTGTGAAGGCGTTTTCAACTAGGGCTTCCACGGATTGGCGCGACTTGCAGTTACCCCTTACTGTCTCTTCTTTATGTTACTGTTAACTATAGTATAGTTAATACTGAGTTTAGTTGAGCATTTACATTTCAATATATACTTAAACTACTTTGTATGTTTTGTTTCCTTATCAATTTACTTTTTATCATGTATCAATGGGTAAACAATAGAAAAATGTTGACTCACATAGCTACCCTGTAGTTTTCTTTACATATTTTACATGAGTTAATTTTATGAACTTTTTATATAAATATTATATTTATTCAGCATTTCAATATCTCTATTTAAACACTTCAATTATGTACAAATATTAGTTACCCTGTAATTTTATACATTATGTTGTAAGCACATCTAGTTTTTATTAAGACAAAATTAGATAATTAAAATGCTTAATTTTAATCTACACAAGCTTAAAGTTCACAAAATGCGCGACTAGCAGTTACCCTGTGCTAATTATATGATGTATTATGTTCTATATTGTATTCCATGTACTTATGTATATCAGTCTTATTTTATTCATTTATCACATTATTTATAAATCAGTGCATTGCTCTCACAGCGAATAGTAAAAGTGAACGACCAGCAGTTACTCTGTAGTCATATATATTAGGTATTATCTCTTTATATATAAATATATGTATGTATTTTCTTCCTGTCAGCATCTCAATTAGTCTTTCTAATCTGCTATCACTCAAATATATATTGTGCTCTGCAAGATCTCTCTTATAGTATAGTAAATATTCATCAAAGCTAATACTAAATGTACGACTAGCAGTTACCCTGCGGGCTTACATATAGCGTATTATCTCTTCATTTATTTTGTTCCTGCCTTTTTCTCACCTATTCTCTCAAATCTCTAATATTTTGCAACATCTGTCTTAGATTACTTTATACTATAAATATATTCTCTGTTTCTGTGAGTGAATATAGTTCTCCTGAAAATGATATATCATAGATTATATATTATCGCATTCAAAGAAAAAGGCTCAACTCTTATTTATAGCTTTTTTATATTATTTAGTTTTTTACGTTTTCTTTTTCAGTAAATCTCTTCGATTGCTCCCTGTAGGAGCTCTTCATTGCCTAGCCTTGAACCAAATACATAAAAGCTTCTTATCGCCAAACAATTATTTTCCGCTCTTATCAATAACTAGACAATTAATCACAGAAATTGATATGCAACGTAAAATACCCTGTAATTGATCGGTATATGGGGTATAGAAGCCAGACCGAGCAATTCTTGTATATATTCATATCTGATTTGATTATATTTATAGCTAAGCCTATATATATGTATATGTATATGTATATCTCATATACATATATGTACATTGATCTATTTCTTTATAGTGTTTCGCCTTTTGTTTTTCTGTAACCTTTGTTTTTGCAATTAATATTTTTGAATGTTTCAGACGATTCTGCCTAGTTCTTCGTTACACTTGAGAGCATTTCTGATTTATGATGAAAACAAGCAACAATATTCGATGTCATTCACGCCCCGAGCGAAACAAACGAACTCCATTGTGTGGCTTGCCCCAAGCCCCATGCCCCACAGTCCAGAGCCAGCAACAGAACACAAATTAGGCTTTTGTAGAGAGCTCGTTCATGAGTGCCACATATAATCGTATTACAAATGCGCAGTAAATAGAACTTTATTCGATACGTACAGTTCGTGCAATAATCGAGGAGCGAACTAGTTCGAACCAGTTTGTGTGAGAACCACACAAATGTTTTCATACTATTGGTAGAATGAACCATGTTTCAATAAATACCAAATTATATTAGCTTCAAAATGCTAGATACCAAAAACCAATAGCACACGCAGGAAGTAGTTAAAAGTCTGATAAGTATTTTAGGCTATATA